TCTAAGGTCGTTTAAATTATCCAGAACCAAGTATTGAATGAAATCTCAAAGCGTTACGCTTCGTAAGCGCCGCTATAATCTGAAAGACGTAAAAATTTTATGGGAATCAGAGTTTAAAATTCAGATTTAAATTCCAATTCCGTACTCTTCAGTCATAAATGTGTTTAATAAATCGCGATTGTCTATTGTTTTTGTGCGATGGATTTTAGATAATGGCGTCTGAAATGAATGGATTGATATCGACTTTCTTTGCTTTTACTGTTCTCGAGTAAACGGAAGACGGCTTACCCGATAAGTCTGCGAAAGATCGGATAATGTGACGGAATAAGATTGATTCTGAATTATATACCGATTGCTAAATCATACGAATTGCAACCCTATTACCCTGTGTTTAAGACAAGAATAGTTTGTATTATGTTGGTTAATTATAAGGCAAAAAAATAGAAGCGTTTAATAGTATTTACTTCAATCTTTTCTGCCATTTTCGCTTTCTTCGTCAGCATACGCGTATTCTAGAAGCTTGAGACTAGGCCATAGTAAACAACGTTGATCCAATTAAGGCAGACTTTCGTTGTATTACAGTTAATTACTTCTTCTAAGTATCTTTGTATTATGCGTTAAAGTTTTCATTTATTTCATCATTACCAAGTGATTCGTTACTGTTACATTGACCTATGTTTCAACGGAGTAAAACTCAAATTAAGTTTGGGAACGCATTTAATGAAATTGTCGAATCTAATAATAACGAATAATTAAATGTAGCTTGGAAATCGGCTTTTAGACATTTCGCTACTTAGGGTCTGGCCCACCATTGGCTGATAGCTTAAAAATGACGTCACATGTCACAATGTCATAAGGGAACGAAATACGATATTTCTATCGCATATTTTACACGTTCGATTGTTATTAGATAATTTACAATTTAATGAGACAGCCTTTTAAGCTTACAGAGGTCTGTTTCTATGGATTTTGGCGTTTAAGCGTCATTTAACCTACATATTTAAATGTTTCATTATCTGCCCCTTAGTACACTTGATCTTATGGGTTTATTACATTTTTGTAGCATAGCCGTCGGCTATTAATCAGGCCAGTATTCGTTTATTGGACACTTAAAATGCCGTATCATGGTGATATAATACGAACGACCTCGGAATAACTCCCCACCCTTCATATCTCACTTTAATAATCTCACAATAGACCCTTTTTGTTTCCTTATTAATAATATTCTAATGTATGATTGTATTATACAAAATATTTTTTAATCCCAAATTTCATTTCAATCAATAACGTTTTTGAAGTGTTTCTATATTCGAAAATCAATAACAATAAGTACAGTCACAATGAAAATGTTTAATAAAACAATTAAATTACACGTACAATTGTATCGTTCAGTACAGTCGTATTAAAAAGTGTTACACGCAATTGCAGTGCATGCTTTATCGATTCAATCTGCAGGGTTACGAGAGAAGCCACCAAACGCCGATGGCTTCAATGTACTTGACCTAGAAACTCAAGCACCGCCCTACGCTATATTAAAAGCTCTTCATTTTAACAACATAAAGCGGTGCATGTTACAAACACGACAACTTTGTAAAATGTGAACAGAAAACACGTACATTGAACAAGTCTATTGCCAAACAAAATATATACTACCAGTGAGCACTTTTGTATTGCATATTACCTTGTTTAGTCTCGCTTTGATTATCTTATATGGAGGTTACACTACTTTAGTTGTGCGACTAAACAGTTGAATTGGCTGCGAAACAATCGACAACCGCACAACAGTCGTGCGATAGTTTAGTCAAAGGTGTGCGCCCGCTCTAAGAACAATATTTTAACCTATTTAAAATATTATAATTGAATAATCAACGCAATTTGTAAATTTAATTCCTTTTAAACTACACTTTTCTTACACTTACTTATGTCTAAACTTCAAAGTCAAATTATGCATTGTTCACGCAGAATATATTTTCTTGGTAGCAAATAATTTTCCGTAGATTTCGTAGCCTCGGGTAAATAGGGTTGTGACCTCTTTACATTCATAGTTTTAGACAACTTATTTAATTGATACTGTCGCTTTAAACTCATAGAAACACTTCTCGCCAAGACTCAAGTTGCGCGCCAATCGATCCATACTTCATGTGACATTGACAGCTGTCAGCTAGGGACGTGACGTTTATGCTGATAATCTAGAATTGCGCCAATTCTACATCACGATACTAATTTTGTTCTTAACAATAGGCATGTGACGTTAAAAGTGAATTCAGATATCGCTGATAAAGTTTGGGAGAGTACGTACTGTGCTACGTAAGTAAAATAGCACAAATAAAATCGATGTTATAGTATTTTTTATTGATAGGTGACAGCCCTAGTTACAACAGCGAAATGCCTATTGTATTTGTTCGTACATCGTCCCAACAAACGGGTCAAGTGTGTGGCCTTCGGATGTGTTTGGGCCCGTTTCGAATTGATTTACTAACTATATTGTATTTTCGTTATATCTATTGAAGCATGTATTCTGTTATAATGTATTTTAGACTTGATATCAAAATAGGGACATTAAGATGAAGATGTTAAGATTGAATATGGATGGCTACAAAGATAGACCGAAAAAAGTATACAAGAGTTGTGTGAAAGATATGCTTTAGGGAGTAAATTCAGATATGACAGATGTTAGAGATGTGTGAAAGAGCACATACTGTGCCGACCCTATATAGGGATAAGGGTAGGTGATCAAGATAAGAGAGAGTTTTCAATAGAACTCAAGTATTTTTAACAATATGGCAGAGCATTCATTTCAACGCTGCTGTAACGTTAAGTGAATCTTAGAATTATTTTACGTACACATGTATTGAAATTATTTATTTCAGATACCTAATTGTCTGAGGAAATGTTTAAAATAAATGTACGAAAATATTTTGGTAACTTGTAGCTAGCTCTCGCCCACTACTTTGTGCGGGATTAAAAATCACTTGTGGCCTACGTAATTAGTAGCATATGTAATCTTTTAGACGTCCTATATTTGCTTTTAGACAGATCCGTTGAGGCGTTCTGGAGATATGTGCAAACAAACAACCATCTAAACTTCTACATCTTACTAATATTATAAATGCGAAAGTTTAGATGGATGGATGGACGTTTGTTAGCGTTTGTAGCCTAAACGGCTGAACTGATCTCCATGAAATTTGGCACAGGTTTAGAACTTAGTCTGGAAGAACACATAGGCTACTTTTTATCCCGGGAATAGTTACGGTTCCCGTGGGATTCATTAACTTAGTTTTTTAATGTTCATTCGAACATTCTGCAAAGGTTCAACATATCTTATTGAAATTTGGCACAGATATAAAACAAAGTCTGGAGTACACGTGAGATAAGCTTCATCCCAGAGAAATGTCCGGTTCCCGAGGGATACGTAGCTTTTTGTAATTTATATAGTTCGTATGTTTTCTAACACCACGCGGACGAAGTCGCTGGCAACAGCTCGTTTATAATATTAGTAAGATTAAGAAGTAGGACAGCGTATTTTGTTGACAAAAATTTGCATTGTTTGTGTCAAGGAACTAATTTTTACATTGTTGGATTCAGTAAGTTCGTATAACTTCATAGAAAAATAAATCAACAGTCGTGTCTGTGAGTCAATTTGTCTGTGACTCTCGGAAGTGAGAAAATGTGATTTGTCGATGAGGATAATGCGATTTGCCGCGCGGTAAAACTTCTTCCTTGTTTCTAGTGCCTCGTTTATAAAGGGTCGATGTTTTGACCTAGTCGTGTTTTTTTGTTTTATTTTTTAAATTCTATACATCAAAGATCGTCTAATGTTATTATTATTATTTATAGAAAACACTAGTTGTTGCCCGCGATTTCGCCCGTGCCAAATTAAAAAAATAAAAATAAAAACAAAGCTTATGTTACTCACTGATAACGTAGTTTTTTAATGGTGAATTTCTGAAATCGGCCCAGTAGTTTTTGCGTTATTTCAATACATACAAAAATACAAACCTTTGCTCTTAATAATATTAGTATAAATATAGATAGACTTCTAGATTTTCACATTGCTCAAAAAATATGTAACTTAATAGAAGTTTGTTGAAATAAAAGAACTTTTTAGAAGTTTTATTATACAAAAATTGATAGAATTTACGATACTTTCATAGAAACATTTATATAGTGCCTACAAAAGTTTTTTTTAAACTAAATAAATAAGAGCACTGTAGTATTTGATAAATCTTTCTACGCATGAAAAATTCATTTCCTTTCCCGACATTTGAACCCCAGACATAAAGTTATCGTAATACTTAGAGCGGGCGCTTACCTTTGACTAAACTATCGCACAACTGCTGTGCGATTGTCGATTGTTTCGCAGGCAATTCAACTGTTTAGTTGCACAACTAAAAATCGAGTGCGCACCTCCATATAAGTTTATAGAAATCAAAGTGAGACTAAACAGTTGTGCGATAGTTTGGTCAAAAATGTGCGCGCTAAAACCATTTAATTTCCACACCACAGAGTTTCATTTCGTGGTATACTGTATCGATTTAATCTGGATTACCATCAAAGCCCTTGTCTACGAACTCTCGAGTCACTTTTTATTGCCATATAAAAGTACCCTCATTGCCCTCCGCTGTATTAATTGGATCTCGAGATGGAAGACTCAGAATAATGTTTTTATTTGTTACAACGCCATCTATCGGCGAGTAGAAAATATTATATTGATAGTAAAAAGGTAATATTATGACTATTAATTCGTGATAAAACTTGAAAAGTGATAGGGAAGGGGTTTTTATCTTATGCTATTAAACATACTTTGAGGCTTATCACAAAAATTCGTGAGATGGTTTTAATAACGTCATCGACGAAATTTGTATTACATTTATGCAGCTCTACCGAGCATAAAGTACACTAACAAATTTCTTACAAAGTCGATGATGTCCGAATGCGTTCTCGACAAATGTCAGACATTCACAATAGACCTTCTAAAACATTGCTGTTTCTCTTTACAGATAAAATCCGCAAGAAGTATGCTTCCCTCGGAGACAGCATCATCGTGGTCAAACTGGAGAGGTCCCCGAAAGCGGGGCTCGGTCTCAGCTTGGCAGGGCACCGGGACCGCAGCCGCATGGCGGTCTTCATCTGTGGTCTTCATCCTGCGGGATCCGCCGCCAAATCTTCACCACCTATTAAAGTCGGCGATGAGATCTTGGAGGTAATGTACACGTGTATGTTTCCACTATTATTTTTAGTGTGTAGTGTTTAGTCTCGTTTTGATTCCTACGAGCTTATATGGAGGTTATACTATTCGATTTTTAGTTGTGCAACTAAACAGTTGAATTGGCTGCGAAACAATCGACAATCGCACAACAGTGCAATAGTTTAGTCAAAGGTCTGCGCTCTTATAATGGACGTATAGTTTTGATTTATGAAAAATATGTTTTTATATTTTAAACACGTAGTTTTAAATCTATACTAATAAAGCGTAAACACACAGTTCTTTGTGGCGTAAGATCTCAGCAATTACAGCATAATTTTGAATAATTATTTTATTAATAAAAAGCCCTACACTTACGTCATACTTTAGGCTATATGTTTTGACGCCATGAAACTAAGTGGGTAAATATTTTGGATAAAAACCCTAATGTGGGAAAGAGACCATAAATTACTGCCAACATCAAGAAAGAAAGATTGCCATAGTAACGTAATTGGTATTTTGACATTTGCAATTGAGAATTTGACAAATGTTAACAATAAAATAAAATGTTCACAATTACATGCGGATGAAGCCGCACGGCAACAGCTAGTTATAGATAACCAATCTGCAACAATAATACCAATGCCTGATTAATTAAAAAACAATTACCTCGACCAGTTAACAAAATTATGCATTCATAACATCAATTCTACTGATACTTGAAAGTTTATTCCACAGTAATTACTTGTTCTAAACCTAGTCGTCACAATTAGCACACTAATTTACCGTTCCTTGCACCAGTTTATTCAAGGAGACCATTTAATGTTGGTCTATTACTGTTGTTTGGACGGGAACATAATTCTAAGCGCACATAAGCGCTACTTACATTGGCCGGTATCCAATAAGCAATGCACTAGCAAATAGATGAAATAACTCTATTCCTAGAACTGCATTGTTTGTTTTGTTTCGAGCCTCAGTTAACTCGAGTAACGTCATCTCGTAAATACTAAAGGGAACGGAATATAATATTATTCCGTGTTATTTGTATACTAGCTGTTCCCGTGCGACTTAATCTCCATAAAATTATGAAAATTTTATTTTATTGTTAACATGTGTCAAATTGTCAATTGCTAATGTCAAAATGACATGACATGACAAAACTTGGCAATTTTGCTTCCTTGATGTTGGCAGCAACTTATGGTCTCTGTCCCACATTTTTGACCAAAATACTTACCCCCTAAGTTTAATGGCGTGAAAATGTATTGCTAAAACGTGACGTAGGCGTAGGGCTTTTAATTAAAAAGAGAATTATTCAAAAATATGCTGTAATTGCTGACATCTTAGGCAACAAAGAAGTGTGTGTTTACGCTTTATTATAATAGTATAGATATAGATTCCACATCAATTTCTATGTTCTTACGGTCAAGAAAACCATCATGCTGCACATATCTGTTAAGAAATTCAAAGATATATGTGGGAATAGACAAACACTACATTTATGTCAAGTCAACCTTCAGTTATAAGTTGCTGAAGTTTCCATTTATTTTATTAAATTTATTATTTCATTAAGATTAAACAAAACCAAAGCAAGTGACATAGATGTAGAAGGTAGTCTGGAAGAACACATAGGCTATTCACTTTTGTTTATTAATTCGAAGTGGACGGAGTCACAGGCAAAAGCTAGTCTAAACACAAATTGTGTTTTATAATCGGCGCCTCACAAATATCCAGGCTGTTTAAGTGGTGATGATTTCTTTTAATGGCATATCTATACTTCTATAGTTCTATAATATATTATAATAAAGCGTAAACACACACTTCTTTGTTGCCTAAGATGCCAGCAATCACAGCATTTTTTGGAATAAATCTTTTTTAATAAAAAGCCCTACACTTACGTCACGCTTTAGGCTATATATTTTCACGCCGTTAAACTTAGAGGTAAATATTTTGGATAAAAACCCTAAAGTGGGAAAGAGACCATAAGTTGTTGCCAACATCAAGGAAGCAAGGTTGTCATGTCATGTCATTTTGACATTTGTAAAAAATTTTCATAATTCCATGCGGATGAAGCCGCACGGGAACAGCTAGTCAAAAATGAAAAAAATGTCGTTATTTAAAATTAAAGTAAAACAAAATTGTTTAGTAAATGCTTGTAACTCTTAAAAAGCGTTAAGAATATAATAGACACACCGTCTATAAATTACGTTGAAGAACTGCCAACACGAAGAGCTCATAATATACTAGATCTGTACAAATTATATTTACCATATAATTTATTACGCCTATAATTACTTCGTCAATCAATGCGGTCAGCTCTAGAATTTGGAATGCTTCCAACTGTATAAATGTACAGATTGACGCATTGATGAGTGAATGAACGAGAGTATAACGACCGAATGAAAGACCGATCTCCATTGTCCGGTCTTTTAAAAGGAAAGTTTCGTTCTTATGAATCAAATTCATTATACTTGTGACTTTGCTCGACCTTTAGGTCTACTATGTTGACTTAGACTATAGAGAAACGGACTAGACAGCCAACGTAATAAATTCTGCCAATTTTCGTAAGGTGTGAGGTAAAGATTACAATCATATGTAAATGTCATGCTTCCACTTGTTTTTTTAGGTATTTCATTTAAAAATCAAGCACACAAGCAAGCAAGTTTAGAACTTACTGTTTTATTTTTTTTGACACAGGGAAAGAGCGCGCTTGACAGATCCTGTCACTTAATACTCAAAGGATATTGACAAAAAACATTTTTAGACAGACATATTATTTGCTAAGGCATTTAATGATATATTTTTCTGTCAAAAATATTCAATAATAAAGACTTGAGACGAATAAATCTTTTGTCGAAATCGTACGTAGGTTTAAGCCTCTGAAGATTCGATGTAACTTATTTTTGTGTACCAAGTTTTTATGAGTAATGATTTATTTTTAAATTTTATCTTTTGGTGTATATAACGTAATGTACAAAACATGATACTGAACAGTTTTTATACAGTACTAGCTTTCGCCCGCGACTCCGTCCGCGTGGTTTAAAAAAAAACATAATTTAGTAGCCTATGTGTTCTTCCAGAATATTTCTACATCTATACCAAATTTCAATGTGACCCCTTCAGCCGTTTAGGCTACAAACGCTAACCATCCAACTTATATACAATAATCCATCTAAACTTTCGCATTTATAATATTAACTAGTATGATTAGAATATCATAAAGACTTTAAAAACATCACATTTTGAATAATCTACACAGAAATCGTGATACAATTTTAAACCAATACAATAAAGCGTAAAAACACTCTTATTTATGGCGTAGAATGTCAGCTCACAGCATATTTTGTGTAGTTCTTTCTTTAATAAAAATACCTACATTTACGACACGCTTTAGGCTATATATTTTCATGCTACTGAAGGGGTAAATCGGAAAACTACATGCTACCATCATTAAGGAAGCAAGGATATTATGGTAACGGTAATATTAGAATTTGCAATTGGGAATTTGACAAATGTAAATAATAAAAGTTTTTATAATTTGATGCGGATGAAGTCGCACGCGAACAGTTTTGTGCATACTTTATGTGTATTGTGTCAGAGTGTACACGTATATGATCTGTAGTAACACGCAGTCGGTCAAATTTTTGTGCATTCGCATACATTAACAGCTGATCCCTCTAGCCGTCTCGTATCTACACGCCTTTTGGAGCCACGCCAATCGTATTAGGTAGCGTTCAATATTGCGCGAAGCGGAAAGCGGATTTATTTTTGGAGATACGGTTTTCAATTATTTAGAAAACAAAATTGGTTATGAATGTAATTGTAATTATTGCGCTTAAACTTGATTAAATTAATTAAAAATGGGTAGTAACCGATTAAAATATGTAACTATTAAATATTTTCTAAATTATTTCGCTCTATCTGACATACAAAATAACACTTTACTCTCTGCAGCAATGTTATGAGAAATCATAATTTCGAAATTCGCTATATTTTTTAAACAATAACACGAAATTATTAGCGCTTTATAATATGATCTATACCTTATCGTGCCACACAAAATCTTTGCAACCAAAGCCAGACTATTCTTGTTTAACGTCCATTCTGATTGAAACATAACTCTCTGGTCGAGGTATATCCTGTAATTGTGCGTTTGAACAACTATAGAGTACAATACCTATTAAATGAAGGAAAAGCAAAGCCTATTTTGTTTTAAACCGGAAGTACGTAATGTGTATGTTACATAGTGTCTTTTTGTATCCTTAACTTAGACGTGTCATTGCATTCTTATTCTGTTTGCAATCTTAACTATAAAATTTCTAGTTTTCGCCCGCGACTCCGTCCGCGTGGTATTGTAAAAAACAAAAGTGAATAGCTTATGTTATCTTCCAGACTATCCTCTACATCTATGCCAAATTTCATCGAAATCCGTTCAGCAGTTTAGGCTACAAACTCAAACAAACATCCATCCATCTATCCAACCATCCATCTAAACTTTCACATTTATAATATTAGTAAGATTGTAAATAATCCAACGTCCTTATTACATGCTTTAGGACGTGATACCATCTTATAAATCTATGAACGGGTGCACAAACAAAAAGTAAAATTTAGAATCTGCGCACACCCGAATACTAAGCTTTCGCACAACTGCTTAGTTTCGTTTTAATTCCTATGAGCTTATATGGAGGTTACACTACTCGATTTTTACTTGTGCAACTAAACAGTTGAATTATCTGCGAAACAATCGACAATCGCACAACTATTGTGCGATTGTTTTGACAAAGGTTTCCGCCTGTTTGTTGTCACGTTACTAAGCCATGCGAGATACATAATCGACCTTAACAGGTAGTGCCCGCTTTAACATCTTTTTACTAATGGGTCGGCTCGCCCGGTGTAATACCACGACCACACAGAAAACAGGCGTGAAGTGGAAGCAATTCCGCGTTTCGTCTGCTTTCCCTTTCCACCCTTTTACTAAGAGGAAAGGATGGGAAGGAAAAGTCGATTTGACGGTGGAGGAGACGCATAGGAAGCGAAAATGTCCTCTTTATGTGCGTCTCCTCCTCCGTCAATCAAGGATGGGCAACGCATCTGCAATTGCGGATGTTTATGGGCAGTGGTCGCTTTCCATTTCGGTGGATTCAGGCCGCTTACACGTTTGTCACCTTATGTTATAAAAAAAAACCTAAAGCCCAATCATCTATACACATACAAACTTTCGCATTTATAATATTAGTAATAAATGGTGTATTTTATATGCAGGTGAACGGGATAGTACTACACGGCAGATGTCATCTCAACGCGTCGGCTATCATCAAAGGACTGGTGGGACCTGTCTTCAAGATAATTCTTCTAAGGTAATACCTAAATGTTACAATTATCAGGATATGAAGGTGCGCACACTAATTTTTAGTTGTGCAACTGAACAGTAAAATTGCTTGAGAAACAATCGACAATCGCATAACAGTGTGCCCCAGCTCTTAGGCATATTGCATATCAATAACTTTAAAATATCACATAGCTAGCCAGAGCAGAAAAACGGTTTAATTCTGTCATATCTTTCGCTTAGTAATTACCACAAATAATCTTTTCACTTATGTTATGAGCTGTCTCCCGCAAACTTCGTTAGCGCGAATTTGGACCACCGGTTACGCCATTTTGAAAGCGGAGAATTAAAAAAGTAGCCTATAATATGCCCGTCTATGTCAACTACCCTTCAGTGAAAGTCCGGTCAAAATTGTCCCAGCGCAACTTGTAGACAGACAGATAATTATTTTAAATTCGTATAAAAAAGAATAGAAAATAACTTATCTTTTCACTCATGTATATATTCACATTATACAGCTACAAAAAACACAACAAACTTATTACAAAGAACTTTACGAGCCACAAACAGTTCTCTGCCAAATCTTAGTCGACAGGTCAATGAACTCTGTCAAATAAAAACATCCATTCGCCAAAAAGTCGTCTTTTCTTACTTTATATCTTTACAACATAGAACGTGTAAAATAATACAACGTAAAAGGAAAATCGTAAATAATAAACAAACCACAAAACCTATTTACGTAAAGATGAATTGGTTTATTCGCTTCCGAAACGTGCATCAAACATACCATATGTTACTACTATATTAATAGCTATTTTATAATTATAATTATTTTTTATAACATAAGGTGGCAAACGAGTAACCGGCCACCTGAATCCACCGATATGTAAAGCGACCGCTGCCCATAAATATCCGCAATTGCATTTGCTTTGCCTACCCTTAATGGACGAAGGAGGAGACGCACATAAAGAGGACATTTTCCCTTCCTATGCGTCCTCCACTGTCAAATCCATTTTTTTTCCCATCCTTTCCTATTAAGGAAACGGTGAAAAGGGAAAGGGACTAAAATTAGGCCTCCGGCATCACACTCATCAGACTGTACGCGGAATTGCTTCCACTTCACGCCTGTTTTCTGTGTGGTCGTGGTATTACACGGTGCGAGCCGGCCCGTTCGTGCGAAGATGTTAAAGCGGGCTCTACCACTATTAATAATCTTAATATTAAACATGACAAATATCACACAATTTAGAAATTTATGTACTTAGTAAAATTGTAAACTGCAATTTCATACACGTACGGTGACATGCAAATTTTTTTTTCAGACGTAAAGCGGCGTTAGAAGACGTTGCCGTGAAACCTTTAACGCAGTTTCCTGTCGGCCTTGATGAAGAAGTAAGTCATTTTATGAACTAACTAACATATCCCAATCTTTATTCTTCTCTCGTAAAGTGGACGGACTAGGTAAATACTAATAATAATTTTCGTATCTACCTTTCAATTATATTTTCAAAGTAACAATAGAATATGCAATTTTATCCTTAGTAAATTTTATATCGTTACTTAAAATCGACTTTATCACTTAGTACATTAAATCTAAGTTCAAGACTAATATGTATATTTTTATTAAGTGAATAAATCTTACTATCTTATTTCTTACTAATATTATAAATGCAAAAGTTTAGATGGATGGATGGATGTTTGTTAGAGTTTGTAGCCTAAACGGCTGAACGGACTTCGGTGTAATTTGGTACAGATGTAGAGGATAGTCTGGAAGAACATATAGGCTACTCACTTTTGTTTTTTTTAGTTCCACGCGGAAGGAGTCGCGGGCAGAAGCTTGTTTAATAATATAAAAAGACGTAATTTGTACTAAAAATAGCAATATCTTGAATAAGAATTTGCTATTAATTTAAAAATAGATGTAAATCCCGTTTTATTCAAGTTTAAACAAAGATTTTATTACATCTTTACTAATATTATAAAGAGGAAATATTTGTATTTTTGTATGTACTATATACTAAAATACTGAACATATTTCGATTTTTTTTCTATAAAAAAACTACATTATTACTGAATAACATAGGCTAAATTTATTACTATGTTTTTTTTATTACGCCCTAATTCTTAAGCTAAAGCTAGTAACCTATAATTGAACAAGAAAATCCGTTTGCATAGTTACTCTTGAATTACAGTAGGTTTTGTTTGCACAAACATTTTGTTGACACATATTGTCCTCCCTTTCATGCTCTTTGACAAAAAAGAGACAACAATACGTGTTATTGCAAGTGTGAGAACAGTGGAAACCCACTGTTATATTAACATAATAATTATGTTAACTCTCGCTTAACACTGACCTTGTTGAGTGATCTTCTATCTCGCTCTAACACATACGTTCAATTTCCGTAGAGTTTTCCGCACGAAATAATTAAACAAATGTGGTCTTTAAACCTATGGAATAAAGTTAAAAATTCCTTGTTTGTTCTTCATGATGTTTGTATCTCATCGACAATTCAAATAGTTTTATCCAAATGATATAAATATTTGAAATTAAATTTTATTCTATTGCTGTTATGGTTTAAATTTCAATGACTCGATGGAGTTATGTTAAGTCGTTCTTGTACTGAATTTGAAATGTTATCTTTCATTTAGCAATGTCATACAAACAGTGTGAAGACGGGTTGTGTACTATGCGAACGTTTTACGTGAATTTATTATCAAAAATGTTTTAAAATATCTCTAGTCAAGTTTTTAGTGGTTTTACTAAAAGCTTGTATAGTGTTTTTAGTGGAATTTGATATAAGAATTACTAAAGTTCGTGTGTGTGTTTTGTGAGATTGCATAGCACCGGTGTTTGGTTTCGTTTGTAATAATTTGATATTAGTAGTGTTTTGTTTACCCAGTAGCTATTCTTTACATTGACTGTAGTATTTGGTTTTATAATTAACATTAGAAATAATAATACGGTAACAGTTGTTGTAAGAGTAATCATTAAGTTTTTGCATTTAGTAACTATGTGGAAAAATGTGTTTTTTTTTTAACATGACCATTAAAAAGTGAATTCCGTCAATTTACAAACGGCCTAAGATTTTAGCTTTCATCTGATGTTAACGAAGTCTTTTACATTTTAACGGGTAATACAGTGGTAGAGCCCGCTGCGCACGAATGGGCCGGCACGCCCGGTGTAATACCACGACCACACAGAAAACAGACGTGAAGTGGAAGCAATTCCGCGTTTCGTTTGATAAGTGTGGTGCCGGAGGCCTAATTTTAGTCCCTTTCCCTTACCACTCTTTTCTTAAGAGGAAAGGGAAGTCTCCTCCTCCGTCAATGAAGGGTAGGCAACGCATCTGCAATGGCGGATGTTTATGCGCAGCGGTCGCTTTCCATTTCGGTGGATTTAGGTGGCCGCTTGCTTGTTTGCCACCTTATATTCTAAAAAAAAAATCGTAAAATTTATAAATGAAATAATCAAAGTATAGGTATGGGACATTTCTAATAAACTTTTAAATCTGGCACACCAACATCAAACGATACTACTAGCGCCCTAAGTGAGATTTTGAAGCCCCCCTTTTTTAAGTACTTGGAGGGGTTAACAGGGTTAGACTTTGTGATTCGCAGACCTATTGGCTTGTAGACTATTTCATATGTATAGGTACTTTCCCGAGACTTCCAAACCTTCTAGTTTTTTCCTCTTTTTCTTATTTTGGTTTCATAATAATGTTAATTTGTTACGGTCAACGACTTTAAATGACGTTTTCGTGGATATATTAAAAACTAATTTTATGTTTCATTTACATAATACTAGATTACGCCCGCGACTCCGTCCGCGTGGAATTAAAAAAAACAAAAGTGAGTAGGTTATGTGTTCTTCCGGAATATCCTCTACATCTATGCCAAATTTCATCGAAATCCGTTCAGCCGTTTAGGCTACAAACTCTAACAAACATCCATCCATCTATCCATCCATCCATCTAAACTTTCGCATTTATAATATTAGTATAGTATGATTAGTATGATTAATGCATTAGTTTGTTTAATACAGTAAATGGACATTTATGTAATTTAAAAATAATTTACTTTCAATACAATATTTATGTGAAATACACAAAGAAATTAAAATTCATACATAAAAGCATTACAAAGATTCAGTTATTTTGTGAAAATTATGAGACAAAGTGAAGGAATTGTAGAACAAAAAGATATTTATTTATTTACTAGCTGTTCCCGTGCGACTTCATCCGCATGAAATTATGAAAAGTTAATTTTTTGTTTACATTTGTCAAGTTATCAATTGCAAATGTCAAAATGACATGACAAACCTCGACAATTTTGCTTCCTTGATGTTGGCAGCAACTTCTGGTCTCTTTCCCACATTAGGGTTTTTATCCAAAATATTTACCCTCTAAGTTTATTGACGTGAAAATATATAGTCTAAAGCGTGACTTAAGTGTAGGAATTTTTATTTAAAAAATAACTATTTAAAAATATGCTGTAATTGCTGACATCTTAGGCAACAAAGAAGTGTGTGTTTACGCTTTATTATAATAGTACAGATTTATTAGTTATTAAGCTATCCGAATTAGCTGTCTATATGAAACCATTATATTTGTATCATATTCTTTGGTACACATCCGGGACTGTTAAGGTTATCTTAAAGTAATTAGATACGGAACAGATTTTAACAAAATTATTTTGCAATACTTCATTGAATTTTCGAGTTTATTTTAGTAAGATCATTATGACTTCTTCCTCAAAGACACTAAATAATTATGGGCTTATATTTTGTTAGATTGTCAACTGTTTATCGAGAATCCCTTTCCACTCATCTCCTGTTCATCTAAAGTAGACTTAAACGAGGGAATTCTTGATATAAAAGTCTAAAATCTAGACAGGCATAAAGGTTATATTCTATACAAGTACGTAATTTCTAAAACAGTAAAAAAACAATTTTTTCGTAAAAATATAAACAGCTGGTCTCGCTTCCGGACAGAACGTCGGTCGGAAATATGAGCGATAAAATGCCACAACGAAAGTACATTTGCAAAAATTACTTATGAGCATTTAAGAACTTTTTTTCAATTTTTGTTTTGTAAAAGTAGCATTTTAAGGGCCCTATAATATACAAGACTCAAACCATACAAATGGTATAAACTCTTTGTCATAAGAAATTTTTTTTTTATTGTTTCGCGGTTTTTTTTAATTTACATAAAATTTTGTTTATAACAATCGACACTTTTAAGGATAAGGACCAAGGTATTGGCTGGTAATGAAATAAACATACATAATAATATAAATATCATATGTTATTCCATAAGTATTTTGACATTGAAAACTCCCAACTATATTAAGAACACAATCATATAAATATTATAAATGTTACGATGGATAGATGGATGTTTGTTAGCGTTTGTAGCCTAAACGGCTGAACGGATCTCCATGAAATTTGGCATAGGTTTAGAGAATAGTCTGGAAGAATACATAGGCTACTTTTTATTCCGGAAATAGTTACGGTTCCCGTAGGATTCATTAATTTGATTTTATAATTTTTACTTGATCATTCTGCAACGGTTCAACATATCTTATTGAAATTTGGCACAGATATAAAACAAAGTCTGGAGTACACATGGGATAAGGTTCATCCCCGAGAAATGTCCGTTTTCCGAGGGATACGTAGCTTTTTGTTATTTATAATAGTTCGTAGGTTTTGTAATACCACGCGGACGAAGTCGCGGGCAACAGCTAGTAATTCATAAATTTCATAATATTTACATACCTCGGGTTTCAAACAAGGATAATAAATTGAATTATATTTTCAATTACGTAAGCCCACACATCAATACCAACTTTTAAGGAGTTTTAAAGATGAATAAAATCCGAATTTAGATTTAATAGTGCTATGATAAATACTAGCTATTGCTAACGAGTTCGTTCGCTATGTTACTTACTGGTAAAGTAGCTTTTTAATGATGAAAGAATTTTTAATATCGGCCCAGTACTTTTTGAGTTATTTCTATACATACAAAAATACAAATCTTTCCTTTTTATAATATTAAGATAGATTATCGTTAATGTATGTAGAAACAAATTATAAATAAAAAAATATAAACGTTTTTAAAATTTACTTTTTGCAAACCATTTGCATTAAAATTGTAAAAAAATCCTTCAAAGTTTAGCAGACAAAGTTTAACGTAATGCATATCTATGAGGCCTATTGTACGCAAAAATACTACAAGTAAAATACCACACATCAGTTACATTTTACGATACGTAATAAAATATTATCGGACCGCTATCACCGCAATCTGAGGCGACTCGATACGAGCGTGTTCAGGTAAAAGCCTCTTCAGATAACTGAGTGTGTACACTGCGGTTATAGTGTTACAAGCCAGCGCTTCTTAAACTGTTGGGTTAATATTTTTCAAATGTCTTGACTACGTGTACGAAAAAGAATTGTTAGTTCAGTAGAGAAAGGATAGCACTAGCGTTAGCGCGAGTCGCGTTTAGGCGCCCAGGGCGCTGGTAAAGGCGCCCAGGGCGCTGGTAAGGGCGTCACAGGTTTGCGAATCACATCGTCTGACATACTAACGTAAGCCTTCGCCCAATGATAAAAAATGGGCGCTGTAGAAATATTGCTTATGGTACTCAAACTGGGTAGGGATAGGAGAAATTTAGTAGATAATTACATGTTTTTTTTTTAATATAAGTGTTAAAATCTTCCGAACCATCAATCATATTCATTAATTATGCCAATAAACACACGTTAAAAACAAAATTAATTTCTTTTTAATTACTGGATAGAGCGTCAAGAAATATACTATTTATAACAGTTAGCCAAACAAACATGGCACTAATAACATGAATTCAATAACAAGTAAGTGAATGAAAACAATCGTTCAGTGATAATGAGTAAGCTAAAGTGATGACTGTAATGAACGAAGTGCCGACACGGCCAAGCGAGAGTGAACTATTATACAAACCATCTGTGCTCTTCAGGAAAATATGGCGACGAACGTTATCGTTCAGGAAGAGAAAGGTAAGACATCATTCACTAAGATAATTTCTTTATCGAGCGTCGGTGGCTCAGTGGTTTAAGCACTTGACTTGTAATCTACAGGTCTTAGGTTCTAATCCCGCCAAGTACCAATGTGATTTTAGATTTTTCGAATTTTCATATGTACATAATTTACCCGACATTCTTACAATGAAGGAAATCATTGTGATGCCTGCACATATCGGCGAAGAAATTCAAAGATATGTGTGAAGTCAACCAACCCACACTGGGCCAGCGTGGTTGACTCTGGCCTAGTCACCCCTAAGGTAGGGTAGACTCCGATCCGCTCGGTGGGGACGTATAGTGAGCTGGTGATGAAGATGACTTCTTTAAAGCGACTTTTCCAATAGCGTGATTACTAGTTATCTGAAAGCAGGCGAAAGATGCTTGTGTCATTTTTACTGGCGGGTTTTTTATAACTAGCTCTTGTTCGGGACTTCGTCTGAGTAAAATAAAAAAAGTAATAAAAAATATGGCTATCTTACTCACAGATAAATTTATTTCTAATTGTGAAAAAATTTTCGAAATCGGATCAGTTTTTAAGTTATTTCAATACATACAAAAATACAAATCTTTCCTCTTTATAATATTAGTATAGATAGAAGTCAATTTCTTAGTCGCTTAATGAAAAAAGGGTTTACTTTGTTGTAAATTAAACGTATACTTAATATTCAAATTATTAAAGACACTATAAGTAACATTTCCACTGGTGCGGTCGAAAATGCTCTCATAAATAGAAATGTAATTATTCTTCCAGTGGAAGAAGGATCTAAAGCATCGTCTAGTGAGTACATTTAAGGTGTTAAAAAGAATGTCGAATCGATATGTATTTATTACATTGGATAATTAGGACGCGTTTATCTCTACCTTGAAATATACGAAATATAGTGTTTTATTTGGAAATTTCAAAGTCAACATATGTTTTGTAGATATCGTCAAACATTCAGAGTTGTAATTGGTCACTAAGGGAGACCTTTAGTGTAAATAAAGTAGAAGATATAGAGATTAATTTAACACACTGAGATAGTTACCTTTTATACCATTAAACCATACTGTAGCAATTAATGGGGATTTTTTTTATTACTTACTAGCTGTTACTTGCAACTTAGCCCGAGTGAAATTAAAAAATATGGCCTATGTTAAATTACCTTTCTAACGGTGAAATAATTTTTAAAATCGGTCCGGTAGTTTTTAAGTTATTTCAAAACATACTAAAATACAAATCTTTTTTCTTTAAATTTTAGTATAAATAGACTAGCTGTTGCTGGCGACTTTGTCCCCGTGGAAGTACTATATAATTAAAAATATCGCCTATCTCACTCACTGCTAACGTAGCTTTTTAATGGTGAAAGAATTTTCGAAATCGGCCCAGTAGTTTTTGAATTATTTCAATACATACAAAAATTCAGTGGTAGAGTCCGCTTTAACATCTTCGCACGAGTGGGCCGGCTCGCCCGGTGTAATACCACGACCACAAAGAAGACAGGCGTGAAGTGGAAGCCTTTCCCCTTTGTTATATTAGTAAAGAAGTGTAGACCAGTCATAAAAACGTTTAGATTTCAAGTTCTATACAGTGGTGTGTACCTTTATTGTAATTTAAAACTTTCCCAGACAATGTTTGACCAGAGCATACATTGGCACGGTTTGGCCAACATTTGAACAAGTGGTTTGCACTTGTATCAACAAACGGCACGCGGTTTGTGTATAGTTTATTACAAATGTGGTTTTGTAATTTTAATTTATTATACAAGCTGTTCCCGTGCGGCTTCATCCGCATGAAATTATAATAACTTTATTTTATTGTTTTCTGTCAAATTCTTAATTGCAAATGGCAAAATTACCATTACCATAATAACTCCTTAATGTTGGCAACTTGTAGTTTATGGTCTCTTTACCACATGAAGGTTTTTTCTAATTAATTTACTCCCAGTCTCATAGCTTTAAAATATATAGCCTAAAGCGTGTCGGAACTGTAGGGTTTTTTATTAAAGAAAGAATTGTTGAAAAATATGCTATGATTGCTGACATCTTATACCACAAAGTAGTGTGTGTTTACGCTTTATTATATTAGTATAGAAGTATATATTTATAATATTTCAATAGTAGAAGGCATTTCTCTTTTTTTATTCCAAATGAAATAAATATTAAATTGTCGTTTTAGACAAGCCCAATCTTTTGCGGTTTTCAAGATTATATTCAAAGCGAAAGGAATATGGAAGACAGTCTTTACAAAGAGATAGCTGTCTCTTTCACGAAACCTGATAGTAGATTTATGATAAACCGTTTTTTCGTTTAAAAATACCTTTTTGAGTTTTACCAACAAAGGCCCTGTGATAAAAAAAGAATTTAAGTTAGCAGAGGAAATACATGTTGCATGAAATATAATAAACTAGATTTCACCCATGACTCCGTCCGTGTAGAATAAAAAAAAAGTAAGCGAGTAGTCTATGTGGTCCTCCAGTCTATCCTCCACACGTACGCCAAATTTCATCGAGATCCATTCAGCCGTTAACGCTACAAAATCAAACAAACATCCATCCATCCAAACTTTCGTATTTATAATATTAGTAAGATGAATAGTTAAATGACAGGGCCATTTTATATTTCATTTCTGCGATTAGGAATTAGGAAAATACAATTAACTTATGAATCTATAGACAGGACGAAATAAACGTACAGCCGAAAACTACTTTCGGTAAAGTCTCAGTTGTCTTTTTATTGCTGTATTGACAATTATATGCAATTCTACTTAAAATATTTAAAATAAAAGTACTCTTTATTTAAAACTAGTATAATATATGAAACTCTATGGTTATAGGGTTGTTAAATGTTCTAATTTATATAACAAAGACTTTATCGTGTACTTATAGTGTGACGTTAACAGCGATGTTTGTTCGGAACAAACATTTTTAATGCCATATGAAGTGTCCACTTGAGCAAACAGTGGCACGAGGCATTCAGAAATGCAATAAAGTGATAGTTTTTCACCAATGAGTGGAATCACGGATTAACAAAACAGATGACTAAAAACGTATAGATTGAAGAAAGTTTGGATGGATTGTACGAAATATATGAAGGGTGCATAGGTGTTCCCCACGATCTAGTTAAGGGGGGCAGGCAGGTCATCAAGGGGGGGAGTAAAATATTATTTATGCTAGCATGCACAAAAACGGCAATATTCGACTCTCTAGGCCATAGAGGGAGAGTCTAGGTCCTAGAGTCTAAGGGAGGGCGACAACGCTAAAAAGGGAGGGAATTCAGATATGTTTGACAAAGATGTATGGATGAATTTCGTGACGACATTATATGTTAGGTATGATGTTTATTTTTACAAACATTTACACATAGAGGTCAAATAAAACTATAAAATGAATCAAAACACTATTTTCTGTCCAAATCTTACTACGATAATGTCTTTTGCAATTTATCTCGTTCATATATCTTTACGAATCTTAAAATTCCCTTTCTGAGATTTTTACACGTGTCGTTTTTTTTGCGTTTAGTTAATGTAAAGATTTGAATGTGACATTTAAATTTAAATAAAACAAAACAATCGCAAATTTTTAGTTTTATCTATATAATTGTGTTTTCCTCTATTTCAGTCGGAGGATCGATTTGCCGGCTACAAAGGAGTACGAGACATCACCATCAAAAAGGTAAAAGTTAAATTTATACCTGACTCTTTAAAAATGCAAATCGACACTCGTATAGAATTTGCTATTATTTTCTGACAGGCATTTTAACTTTTAAGAAAGTTAATATGAAATTAAAACATTTTATATTCACAGGCGCTTATATATTATTATTGTTAATTTCCAGGGCCCAGCTGGACTAGGTATCATGATAATAGAAGGTCGGCACACGGAGGCTGGGCGCGGAATATTCGTATCCGACTTACAGGAGGGTAGCGCCGCGGAACAAGTACATCCTTGCAATCATTGTGACATTTTTTAATGTTTGTATTGTATCTTGTTTTAATTATTATTTTTGTTTCCAGGCTGGTCTTAACATCGGTGATATGATACTCGCCGTGAACAGAGACTCTTTGCTAAGTTGCAGCTACGATGCCGTAAGTAATTCTTACTTAAATAAATAATTCAAAGCGAGAAATCATATCTTAAAAAATAATTTCTTAATTTCTAAGTCCGATTAAATAGTAACCATGTTATTGTTAAGACGTGTGTAAACGATTTTTTTGCTTGAGAGGTCTTGTCTTATATTATACGATCTCGTTGACATTTTACTGGCTGTCATGCCAGTTGTTACACCATGTTACAGGAATCTGTTTTTTTCCTTTTCTCCTAAATAATGGGTGTATTTTATAGGTTTTTGAAAATCTCTGTAATAAATATTACAAGTTGGAATTTTCATATTGTAATGTATCTAATTTTCTATAACATTTATTTTCACGTTATTGCAGGCGGCTGCTAAACTGAAACACACGGAAGGCGTGGTCATACTGACAGTGTGCAGTCCCAACATGAAGGACCCTGATAAAGAAGATCCTTCGGGAACTTCTGGTAAGTGTTATCTTTACGTAACTTTAATTTACATTTGGAGAAATTGGCGCTGTTCCACCTTAAAAGCTACAATAGTTTGAACATTTTGAAACGAGACGTAGAACAAAAACCAATGTAACGCAGCTTATAAATGTGTCTCTACCAGAAAATAGACTGCTAGTTTCTTTTTATTATTATCCTCTCGTTTGCACTCACTGCTATCTAATTACTTATTTGTAGGAAGAGTGGAGTTCCGCTTACACATCTTCGGCCGGCTCGCCCGGTGTAATACAACGACCACACAGAAAACAGGCGTGAAGTGGAAGCAATTCCGCGTACAGTCTGATGACTGGTGCCGGAGGCCTAATTGTAGTCCCCTCTCCTTTCCAAACTTTCCTTAAGAGGAAAAGATGGAAAAAAAAGTGGATTTGATGATAGAGGAAACGCATAGTAAGGGGACATGTCCTCTTTATGTGCGTCTCCTCCGTCAATTAATTTAGGTATATGGGCAGCGGTCGCTTCCTTTTTCGATGGATTCAGTTGGCCGCATGCTCTCCACTTTACATTACAAAAAAAGTTTTCTCGTTGCTAAAACAAGGCAATTGTTCCTGAAGGGAGAATTTGTGTATAATATTTCAAGTAAATTGTGAACTATGCTTCCTCTATATTTATTTGAATCTCTTTGGTAATATATCGTTTCAGGTGCGAGTGGGAATCAAACTCCAGACGCGTTGTCCGCCGGCGCGTCGCGCCCGCAGACACCACGACCTACTCCTTCGCCTGCTAAAGGTAAAAACTGTTTGACATATATGTTATAGTAACAGCGAAATTAACTGCAACATTCAGACTGCCTCTCATAATGGTCCGCTATTCTACGTCTGAATGACATTGACAGCTATCAGATAGGGATGGGACGTTGGCATATACGTGTTGATCTAGTATTGCGTCCTCCAACGTAGAACTGATTTTCTTTACAAACACACAACAATAAAAATGAGATTTAACAGTAGTAGAGCTTGTTAACATCTTACTGTAGAATCTGCTCGCCACACAAAACCAGCACACAGAAGACTAAAGTGAAGTAGAAGTAATTTTGGGTT